GGAATGGCTTCCCACTGCCAGAGGGCAGGAATAGATGTGAGTCTGAGAAGGAATTTTTAGCTGTGAGGGTGCTGAGACACTGGCACTGGTTGCCCAAAGCAACTGTGGCTGCTCCATCCCTGAGAACATTCCAGACTAGCCTGGATGGGTCTTGGAGTAACCTGGGCTGGTGGAATGTGTCCCTGCCCATGGCAGGGGGTGGAACAGGTGGTCTTCAAATTCCGTCCCAACCCAAACCATTCTATGTCTCTCCAATTTGAACCTGGACGTGAAAGGAAACGTAACAGGAGGTAAACTGAGACCCAAGAGAAAACATCTTAGACACAACCTTTAAGCACAAGGACAGGGATTTGGGAGGCATATCCTGGGGCTGCAGGAGCCTTTCCCCTCCTAGAACTGCATTTGTGGCCCACAGAGGCCTGGAACTGGTGCAGGACACACTCCCACCCTGGGATACACTGTGCTGTAACTAACCTCCTTCCCCCTTGTCCTAATGCTCCTGTAAAGGAAGAGCAGCCAAAATCAGCAACCACAGAGGCTGAGATGCTGTATGGATTGAACTTCTTCCAGGCAAACATTCCTCTATGGCAGATCCAACTCAGCTTGTGCACAGGAGCTGCAAGCAAAGACCTCAGCGGATCTCCGAGCACAAGAGATGGTTGTTTCTCCTAATCCCAAGGATCAAGCTCTTAATCCTGCAACTACACATTTTCTAAACACACAAAGTGTTTTCTGCACTATTTATGTCTCATTCTACCACGGAATAAAATCTTCAACCTCTCTGTGCACTAAATCTCTTTGATCAAACTTATTTTCACCCTGAATTGTACATTATATTCAGAAATCTTTCAACCACAACCTGACCTTTTGCTCCACACCTTCTTCTACCCAAGCTGTACAGCTTGGCCTTGTGTCCAAGAAGCAAGAGGAATACAAAAATACCTTTGCAGTGAAGAAATTAGCACCTTTTTCGGCTAAAAAAATGGTAAATTGCCCTTCGGGAATGAGCAGAAAATCTTTCTTGTAGGAACTTTGCTTCTTGAAATGAAAACACTTCATTTATCCCTTCTTTTCCTTCTTTATAAAGGAGAAAGTGTCCTCCAGAAGTCAAGTAAAAGATGTTTTGAGGAGTCAAGCACAAAAGCTTTAGCTTCAAAGAGGAAAGATGAGATGGAGTTTAAAGCGATCCCTCCAGAGAAAGAAGAAACAGAGTTCAAGCCAGGGCTGAACACAGCTCAGGTGGAGGAGGAAGGTTCTTCTCCTGGAGCCTCCACAAGGATGGAACTCTCCCTCCTCTCCCTCCTCCTGGGAATGTGCTTCCAAGGAAACTGAGGGTGTTTGTTTCAACCTGAGGTGAGAAATGAGGATTCTCAGGCAGAGCTGAGAAGTTAAGAGTTTGTCTTAAACACATGAAATAAGGACAGAAAGTTGTCTGCTAAGAGATCATCACTAGCCTATTTACCACAGTCCTTTTCCACCCTAACAAGGCAAAAAGTCTGTCTGAAAGTAACTAGCAAAGACAACCAGGAGGATGAGGTGAAAACATACAAGGGCATGGAGTGACAGGACAGGGGAATGGCTTTAAGGTGAAGGGAAGGGGATTTAGATTGGATATTAGGAATAAATTCCTGGCTGTAAGGGAGGAGCAGCTCTGCCATGGAACCAGGCTGGGAGCAGCCTTGAGAACAGAAGCTCCAGGGAGATCTTAGAGCCCCTTCCAGTGCCTAAAGGGGCTCCAAGAGAGCTACAGAGGGACTTGGGACAAGGGATGGAGGGACAGGACAAGGGAGAATGGCTTTAAGCTGAAGGAAATGAGATTTATATTGGATATTAGGAAGAAATTCCTGGCTGTGAGAGTGGAACAGCTCTGCCATAGAGCCAGGCTGGGAGAGCTGAGGGTGTTCACCTGGAGAAGAGAAGCTCCAGGGAGACCTCAGAGCCCCTTCCAGTGCCTAAAGGGCACCAAGAGAACTGGAGAAGGACTTTGGACAAGGGATGGAGGGACAGGACACAGGGAATGGCTTCCCACTGCCAGAGGGCATGGATATTGGATGGGATATTGGGAAGAAATTGTTCCCTGTGAGTGTGGTGAGGGGCTGGGATGGAATTCCCAGAGCAGCTGTGGCTGCTCCATCCCTGGGAGTGTTCCAGGCCAGGCTGAATGAGGCTTGGAGCAATCTGGGCTAGTGGAAGGGGTCCCTGCCCATGGCAGGGGTGGGACTATACTTTAAGGTCCTTCCAACACAAATCATTCTATGATTCTATGATTCTATGGAATCACAGACCTTTTGACACTGTCTGTAGTGATGCCCCAAGGAGCAGAAGGAATTCTGTTGGCATTTCAGCATGTACCGGAGGAGATACAGGACCAAATTTATTTAAAGCTCTCCTGGGTGATGCTAAACTAGGCTGCAAATTCTTCTGTTCCTTTAACAAATGCAGATCTAAGCCAAACCTTGGAAAAGTGGTGATTCCTTTTGGTTTGGTGTCAAAATGCTTCAATGGAAATGTGTGGGGGGAAAAAAAAAAAAGCAGCTGGAAAAATGTTACCTAATATCAAATTTAAACCTCTCCTGATGCAACTTGAGGCTGTTTCCTCTCATCCTGCCCCTTGTTCCCTGGGAGCAGAGCCTGACCCCACCTAGCTGCACCTCCAGGGAGTTGGAGAGAGTGAGAAGGTCCTTTCTGAGCCTCCTTTTTTTCCAGGCTGAGCTCCCACAGCTCCCTCAGCCTCTCCCTGTGCTCCTTTCCCAACTCCATTCCCTTCCCTGGACACTCTCAGCCTCTCAATGTCTCACCTGTCATGAGGGGCCAAATACATCTTGAAGACCTCAAACTAAGCAGTCAGAAGGTTTGCTCAGAGCCATATTAGATCCTAAGAAATTGCTAATGATCCTTTAAGACTAATGAACAGCAGAGAGATGAGCGGATCCATGCAATGATTTGGCAGCTTCTGATGAAACCTTCCTGCCCAAACAACACTAAAAACCTTTTCAAGGCTGCAAGAAGTCCTTAAACATCACCTAACTGCCCCTTTTTCCCTCCCACAGCCCAACACTGGCTCATTTTCTACTAATATAATGACATTCATTAATGCAGTTGCAGCAAATGTGGCTTCAAGTGCTGCCCAGGAGCCAACTGGGAAACGAGCAACTGGAGAGGGACATTTCCCATCCGTGTGTTCGTATTAATTGGCCCAAGCAGCCAGGAAGACAATAAAGGAGCTGAATGAGGAAACAAAGGTTTTCCACGGATTTTCTTCATGCATTCATTTTCAAGCTCCAGAAAATATCCTTTCACACCTTCAGTTAGAAGCTGAAATCTTCAACTAGGCCTTAGGAATAGCTCTTAATCCCAAACCAACATGAGACATGACTTTGATACTGTTTTATCTCTAACTTTACAAGCCAAGATGCTTCCCAAATCATTTTTATATCTGTATTTTAAGAAATATCAACATTTCACTTGTTTCCTTCAACACATTTGAGAGTTTCACCACCAAATTAAAGCATTTCTGCCTTGCTCTAATGATAGTTTTGCTTTCAACAGGGAACATCATCTGTTTCCCACAGATTTGTTTGTGACAGTTGCCTAATTCTGTAGGAAAACTGTGTTTTTTCCATGGAATTTTACTAAATTATATTCACTAAAACAAACAAAACACAATTTGAGGGGGAAAATGTTGGTTAAGCACTTGGTTTGGAGTCTCTGAGTCTCATGGGCAATACAAGCAGCTCCCAGATTCCTGCTCAGCACTTCCCAGTATGTTTGACATGGACATCCAACAGAGGAATTATAGAATAAATATCCAACAAAAGAGAATTAAATCCAGACAATTTCACCTAAAAATATAAGACAAATTACCTAAAGCCACTTGAAAATTTCAATACTTGGAATGTCTTGTGAGTTTTCCAAGGAGCTAAAGGGATTTTTCTTCTCTCTTTTTTTTTTGCCCAGCTAGATCTAATCTTCACTGGCACCTGAAGTTTCCCCAGCAAGTCCTGTCTGCCCGCAAATATTTGCTCCTGAGCTGATGGAAATTCCCAGTGAAACACCAACCTGCAGATAGAGGGAAATCACCTAGGTGTTAATCACTGCTGGAACCTCAACTTTGCCACATGCTGCAAAGACCTCAGCTGTATTTGAGGTCTATTAAGAAGTACCATGTGCTGGAAGAAGCTAAATTAAACCTGGAGGAAATCCCAGACAGCAAATCCAAGAGCACATTAAGAACTGGATAAAATATATGAGGAAAGAGAGAGATTGCAGAAGGAAATCTCAAGGAAAATCACCTTGATCAACACAATCATTCTCAGCCTTTCCTGGTCAGACATGCAGCATCCACACTGGTTCTGCTGCCTCTTCTGCCAACATCACTCTCACAGCCATGGCAAATCCCTCATACTTCCACAGAGGAGCAACCCCAAACATCCCTGGAATCAGCCCCAAACACAAATCCTCCCTCAAACTGCAGAATCTACCCTAAAGTCCTGCTTGAAATTAGACTCCACAGAGCTGATCACTCAGATTAACATCAGATATGATCGGCAGTAAATAAAACACTATTGCCACTAAAAACCCAATCAAACTCACATCATCCTCCAGCTGCAGTGAAAAGAAACCAGCAAAACCATCTCTAATGTTCCCACATCAGTTGTGAGAGCAAGAGCAGTCAAAAGCACAAGAAATGAAGCCTAGTGCTATGCACTAGATCTTCACCCTGTGCAAGCTGAAGGCAAATCTCCCTCTGAAGGCTGAGTTGTCCCTGAGCTTCATCTTTTTCATAAAAGTATTGTGAGTCTGAAGGTATTTCCACCAGGAGCAGACCCAAACATCCCTGGAATCAGCTCCAACCACAAACCCTCCCTCAAACTGCAGAATCCAACCTAACATCCTGCTTGAAATTAGACTCCACAGAGGTGACCATTTCTGTGTGACGACAGATATTATCAGCAGCAAATAAAACCCCCAAGGAAGAACTTGCCAAGGGATTTACTTACAGTAGACATCCACTCTGATGGATTTGATGGCTGGGGAGCCCAAGCCGTTCTCAGCCTTGCAGTAGTAACGTCCTCCTTGGTGCCGTTGGATGTTGGAGATCCTCAGGGTTTCATTGAAGACACTCGAGTCTTGGAATCTGTCAGAGGCACTTCCTGCTGTTTTGGTCCACCTGATCTGAGCAAGCACCAAAAAACAGTGTTACTTGAAGGCTGAAAAAGAAAATAAGAGTATAGATCTCTTCACCAAACTGAGAACTATGTGTGTGGCAATCAAGATTTCATCTTGGAGGACTCAGGGAACTTTATACCACATGCTTACAAAAACACACATCATCCAAGAATCCCTGAAGAGCAATCTTCCATTTCATAGAATCCCAGACTGTTTTGGGTTGGAAGGAACCTTCAAGATCATCTCATTCCACCCCTGCCATGGGCAGGGACACCTTCCACTAGCCCAAGTTGCTCCAAGCCCCATCCAGCCTGGCCTGGAACACTCCCAGGGATGGAGCAGCCACAGCTGCTCTGGGCAACCTGTGCCAGTGCCTCAGCACCCTCACAGGCAGGAATTTCCTCCTTAATCACCAGGAGTTGTGTTGTTATTGTAAGAGATCTTGCTCCAGGTCATCAATATGCAACAGTGCTATGAAAACTTCTCTTCCTATTTCTTTCACATGGTAACAGCTGAAATATTGGGCTTGAAAAGAGCTTCAGGTAAAAGTATTCTTTTTCTTCAAAGCTTTTATGTGGAATAATAGAGTGGAAAAGCAGATAAGTCCAAGCAGGCACTGGTTAGTGTGGAATAGGGATGATCCTCTATTCTGGGCAGAGCTAGAAAACTGTGACCAGTGCGAAATTGGTTGGGGGTGTTTAGCCTGGAGAAGAGAAGGCTCCAAGGAGATCTTAGAGCCCCTTCCAGAGTCAAAAGGAGCTCCAAGGGAGCTGCAGAGGGACTTGGGACAAGGGCCTGGAGGGACAGGACACAGGGAATGGCTTCCCACTGCCAGAGGGCATGACTAGATGGGATATTGGGAAGGAATTCCTGCCTCTGAGGGTGCTGAGACACTGGCACAGGTTGGACAGAGAAGCTGTGGCTGCTCCATCCCTGGGAGTGTTCCAGGCCAGGCTGGATGGTTTTATGTGGAATAATAGAGTGGAAAAGCAGATAAGTCCAAGCAGGCACTGGTTAGTGTGGAATAGGGATGATCCTCTATTCTGGGCAGAGCTAGAAAACTGTGACCAGTGTGAAATTGGTTGGGGGTGTTTAGCCTGGAGAAGAGAAGGCTCCAAGGAGATCTTAGAGCCCCTTCCAGAGCCAAAAGGAGCTCCAAGAGAGCTGCAGAGGCACTTGGGACAAGGCATGGAGGGACAGGACAAGGGCAAATGGCTTCATACTACCAGAAGGTTATATTTAAAGGACAGCTCCTGTCCTTATGATTCCACACGCCCTAATGCTTCCACACTCAGCCTGGCAGTGAAAAGCCCAACATTTCCCTCCTCTCACTCCAAGCAGCCTGTGACAGGAGCTGCTAACATGCAGGACGTGAACATCCTGATTCAGTGCCAGAGACCACAAAGAAATTGCTATTTTCCAGCCTGATTGCTGTAGCACAGAGGGAAAACAGACTTCCTTTTCTTCTCCAGCACAGGGAAATTGTGAGTATTAATTGGAGAAAAAAATGAGCATAAAACCCACAGAGCTACAGACAAGCAAGTGCTACAGAAGAACTTGAGAGCTTTGTTCACTCCAGCCCAAAACACACCAGAGCAATGCTGTGATTGGAGTCTGGGGATGGCTCCAAAATGCTAAGTTGCAATAAATTCAAGGGTCAGGAGGAATAAAGAACCTCAGCATGTAATGATGTGAGAGAAACTACACCTAAGCTGACTATTCCTTCACTTCTCAACTTACAGACCTTTTGCACACTTCCCTGTGAGGGGGGTGAGACAGTGGCACAGGTTGCCCAGAGCAGCTGTGGCTGCTCCATCACTGGGAGTGTTCCAGGTCAGGTTGGATGGGGCTTGGAGCAACCTGGGCTGGTGGGAGGTATCCCTGCCCATCCCAGGGGGTGGGATGAGATGAGTTTTAATGTCTCCTCCAACCCAAACCATTCTAGGACTCTGTGAATGTTAATACCTATTTTGTGCTTGCAGCTCTATTGGGAGCATTCTCTGATTCTTTTGGGGAGGGGGTCACAGATCACTCTTATCTGCAACTCAGCCCTCCCTGATGTCCCCATGTCCTTCTGGACTCTGGCTGGAAGTTGGGACAAGAATGATAAACTTAATATATCTCTTTTTTCTTGCTGATTTTACCCTGTTACTTCTTCTAGGATGTCATAGGCTCTCAGACTGGTTTTGGGTTGGGAGAACTTTAAAGCTCATCCAGTCCCACCCCTGCTTACAGGGAAGCTGCAGAGGGACTCTGTTAGGAACTGCAGAGACAGGACAAGGAGTAATGGGGGAAAAATTGAAACATGAAAATTTAGGTGAGATACTAGGAAGATTTTGACTCTGAGGGTGGTGAGACACAGGCACAGGTTGCCCAGGGAGGCTGTGGCTGCCCTAACCCTGGCTGTGTTCAAAGTCAGGTTGGCTAAAGCCTTGAGCAACCTGCTCTGGTGGGAGGTGTCCTGGTCCAGGGCAGGTGTTGGCACTGGGTGATCTCTGATCTCCATTCCAACCCCTTAATATACTATAACATACATGAAACACTCAAACCACACCAAGAGACTCCAGAAATCCTCAAGATCCCTTAACTGATCAGAATGAACCAAGCAGAGAGAGAGAGCCAGGCTGGGAGAGCTGGGGTTGTTCAGCCTGGAGGAGAGAAGCTCCAGGGAGACCTCAGAGCCCTTTCCAAAGCCTAAAGGAGCTCCAAGAGAGCTGCAGAAGGACTTGGGACAAGGGCCTGGAGGGACAGGACACTGGGAATGGCTTCCCACTGCCAGAGGGCAGGGACAGATGGGATATTGGGAAGGAATTCTTGGCTGTGAGTGTGGTGAGGCACTGACATAGGCTGCCCAGGGAGGCTCCATCCTTGGGCCAGGCTGGATAAAGCCTTGAGCAACCTGCTCTGGTGGGAAGTGTCCCTGCCCAGAGCAGGGGGTTGGTGGTGGATGATCTCTAATGTCCATTCCAACCCCTTCACATACTCTGAATAATTTAAGAAGACATTCATAGAATCAGAGAATCACATTGAGTGGAATCTGAAGAAAAGACTATTGTAATCTTTAGGGTAATTGGTAAAAGACATTAGTAAAAAGTGGGTTAAAAATGAATTGGGAACACTCCTTTAGACCCTTCTTAGAGAATTTTGGTTGGAGCAATCTGTTCCTTTCTGGAAAAGCAGAATTTGGGGAAACACCAACAAATCCTTTCCCATCCCTGTGTAACCTAAATGATTAATTGCAGCAATTTAACCCACTTTGATTCTCATGTTTTTCCTTATGACTTTCAGATGTTTCACTGCTTGGAAAAATTAGGACTTTAATAGTGACTAATCAATATCCATTTCCCTATAAATATCTCCCTGAAGGATGGAGCTTTTCCCCTTCTGCATGGCTGGAAAAGACCTTCTCCAGCAGGAACTGAGTTCAATGAATTTCTACTGAGTTTATTAGCATTTTAACCTTCCTGATTTTATTCTGACCTAATATTTTAACCTTCCTGATGGCAAGTTTACAACCTAAATGATTCAGGGAGTTGAATGAAAAGATCCAAACAACTAAATTGTGTATATTTCTTTTTTTCTCACTTTTTTTTCAGCAGTATCAGTTAGCTGAAATTTTTCACCTTCATACTAAAGACCATGATCTAAAGGTACACTAAAGCAGTGACAACACAAAGTGAATTTCTACTTTTGGTGGTTTTGCAATGTTGATATCTCATGTTAAACCTCCAGAGCTATAAATTCATCCCCAGAAATTCAATACATGAAAATTCCTGCACTCTAATTCTTTAAAGGCAAATAAAGACAAGATATGTGGCAACTTGGAGCTACAACTACCACAGAATTAAGCCTGGTGATGCGAACTCCATGAAATCCACACCTACATTTCCCCTGTGGGCCATGATAAATCCTACAAAGTTGTTTTCCAGGGACAGAATGAGTCATAAAGGTACAGGGAAGGAGAAAATTCTCACAGTCTTCCTAGAGCAAAGTTGTTGGGATCAAACTCACAGGAGTTACAAGGGTAACTACAGGTAAGGGTTGATGGATGGTCAATGGAAGAAGTGTCAAGAAGGGAACTGGATCCTAGGATGAGGAATTCCAGTGATGCTGTACAAGGGAAGGGATAATCCCATGCATTTCTCAGCCTGGGAGAGGTGGGAATGTCCAAGCTGAAGAGAAGATCCAGGGAGAACGCAGACCCCTTCCAGTGCCTAAATGGGCTCCAAGAGAGCTGCAGAGGGATTTGGGACAAAGGATGGAGGGATAGGACACAGGGAATAGCTTTAAAGGGTTAGATGGGATATTGGGAAGGAATTCTTCCCTGTGAGGGTGCTGAGGCACTGGTACAGGTTGCCCAGAGCCGCTGTGTCAGCTCCATCCCTGAGAGTGTTCCAGGCCAGGTTGGATGGGGCTTGGAGCAACCTGGGCTAGTGGAAGGTGTCCCTGCCCAGGGCAGGGGGGAAATGAGATGATTTTAAGCTCCTTCCACCCCCTTCTAGGATTCAATAGAAAGGGCTGAGCATGGGGAGGTGGTACCAGGGCTAACCACATGCTCCATGCCAGTCCCACCACTACTCTGAACTACTAGTGAACCAAAAAGGTGATTTTTGCTGTATAAAGCAGAAAATAATCGGCCAAATTAGAAGTTTCACATAGTCTCTACCTGCAGCATCTCCAACGGCCCTTGGATTTAAACCTAAATCCCTGTCTGAAGGTTGTAACCCCAGGAAGATGTTGAGGAACTGGCAAGAGCATAGAGAAAAGCCACAGCACTCATTAAAATAACTCAAACATGCTCCAGACTGTAAGTGATAAGCTCAGCAAATTTGCTGGATCAAATGGAAAATGAGGGCAAAGCAATCAACATCTTTAAAACACACATGAGGGACCCAAAATCGATAGCAGATCAATTGTCAACATAAAAGGCAAAGTTAAGGCAGTAATAAACTGGATTAGAAATCACTTTTCATTTGCTCAGCCTAAGATGTTTATGCAAAACATCT